CACAACTTGGTGCCATCATCCCCCTTGCGCGGAGTGACGCTTCTCGACCCCGCACAACATGATCTACTCGACCACCATTATGGTTACCGCAAAATAAAACAGAGGTAAAAAAAAAACTGGTAACCTGGTTGCCGAGCTCACGAAGTGAGTTGGCTTGTTTTTCAACGCCGTTGCCAAGCGACGAAAACCCAATCCCGAGTGCAAACACCGGGGGGGGTACCCTTTTGGGGCGGGGGTAGTTGGCTTGCTTTACAACGTTTTTGCCAAGCGACGAAAGCCCAATCCCGGCAAACACCGGGGGGGGTACCCTTTTGGGGAGGGGGGTAGTTGGCCGGTGACAACGGACCGCGCCCGGGTCAGTTGTACCAGTGGATGTCTTAGGGTAATGCTATTTTCGGCAGCTGTGTCGTACACGTTTTTCCAACTCCGGCAATGCAACGCTTCGAAATCACCTTAAACTGTGTTCCCACGGCTCTCAGCTGTCGCACAAGCCCTCTTTCGACCCAAAATGACCGGCGGTTGCAGAGATATGGGCACTCACGGTGTCTTGGCATCACCTTGGCTCATCGAAACTTTGCTTGTGCTAACGCCACCTCGCTCAACTCTTCGAAAAAGCCTTCAATGGGCACAAACCCATGTGCGCCGCGCTTCCACTCTGCCTGCCCCCAACTGTCACAGTAGCCCTCCGCTGGCCACAACCAACATGTGGTTGCTGAGATATGGCCCAACACGATGTCACCGCCTCGGCGTATCGTAGGTGTGCTCGCGAAACTCTTCGAAAACGCCTCCAATGGGCAAATATTCTGCTAGCAAACCCGTTGGTAGCCGCTGGGGCCGCTGCACGTGCTCCGGGGAAGTATGAATGCCAAGGCTAGGTGAGCCCCTAGGCTTCTGGTGCAAGGACACGATGCTCGCGTTCCACCCGCACACAGCTGGTCTAAGAGGCGGCCTCGATGGGACGCCCTTTCTACGATGAACAGATCTTGACATGGCGTGTGGATCCATCCGTTGCTGGCCACTTACGAAACCAGGGGGGACAAGGCCGGAAAGGAAAGTCGCAGAGGGCCACATGAATGTGTGTGAAATTCCTCGCCTCTTTCAGTTATTGCAGGATATGTAGGATATCAGTAGTATTTTAGCAAGCTCACGAACGCATATAGGATACCATCAGGATTGTCATTGGTTTTATTTCAAGTTGAAGAGGAGATATTTTTACGATGTAAATGACAGTAGAAATAAGTCCTACATATGTTGTTGTACTTCGTATTGGTTTAATATTCATGTAGAGTATGAGACATTAAGTGAAAGTTTTCTGAGGTACATCTGCAATTGTCGGAAGGCAAAATATATATATATATATATATATATATATTTTTTTTTTCAAGGGTTTACTCGGTAACGAGTTTTTAGGTGGACACGTTTTCGGCGGTAACGCCATTTGGCGGTAATTGTTTTGGCGGATGGCGGTAATGAGTTTTCGGCGGTTACGATTTTGGCGGAGGCGGTAAGACCAAAAAACAGGCGGAATTTTTTCGGCGGTGATGCAATATGGCGGTAATTGTTTTGGCGGACGGCGGGAACGCGTTATTCGGTGGTAACGACTTTGGCGGAGGCGATAAAATCAAAAATAATAGGCGGTAATTTTTCGGCGGTGAAGCCATTCGGCGGTAGTTTTTTTGGCGGACGGCGGTGATGCGTTTTTCGGCGATAACCACAATGGCGGAGGCGGTAAAACAAAAAAACGGCAGTAAACCGGCGGATTACCGGGACCGCCGACCACGGCGGTAAATTGACGGTGGTCGTGAGTGGCCACATCTAGATGGCCACAACTTCAAGCGACACCAAACAAGGCCGCAGGTGTGGTGCTGAGTTACGGCGCCAGAACAGCCGGCAAATCTCCTTCCCGAAGATTGATCATACACTACTACCATAGATTTTTGGTCGTTCTCACCACCAGTAGATTTCACATTTCAGAGTCAGCACGACGTAGAAACATAAAACATAGAAACGAATGTCAGAGATATTTCGCTGTGCACTAGCAGCAGTACGATGCTGCAGATGCCAGGAGGCTGTGTAGCCTACCTCAGAGGTTCACACTCTGTGCGTCTCCAACAGCGAGAGACTTGGAATGGAAATATGAAGATGCTTTTATTTGTTGCTGACTCCCGAGTCAGATGGCTGTTGCTGGTACTGAAGAGGAGTGAGCGGAGTGGGCGAGCTTAGGGCTGCACCACTCTTCTCGAATACCGGACAAATAAGCCAATCACACGAAAGATCCAGAATGCTTCCAGAATGATTTCTGGAAGCCCTCCTACGTTCTAGAAGAGTATCAACTGCAACCTAGATCTAGAACGCTTCCAGAAGCTTACAGAAGGAACCAGAAGTTTCCAGAAAGGCTTCCAGAAGCTACAGAAGGAACCAGAAGTTTCCAGAAGGCTTCCAGAAGCTACACACGTTCTACATAGATGTCCCGGTCAACCTTGACCTAGCATGCTTCCGGACTATTTCTAGAACAAGAACATACATGCTAAGGAGAGATGGATACTTTTCTACTGCTACGCAGACTACTAGTTGCTGCAATCGTATTCAAAGGTCAAACCGTGTCCGACTACTACTGGTGGTCTCGACGCACGATTTTCCTGACAACGGAAACACGTTAAAAAAGCGTAAAACGAAAGTTACACTGCCTGCGCGATACGACCCACACGATCATTCGTGGCATCTCATTGGCCAAAGACTAATCGACGTGTTTCCACTCTTCTCATGCTCCTCCACGGATTTGAAACAAATTATTTGCGAAAATGTTTGGGAAAAAAAAGAGAGCAAGTTTACGTGCGGAGTCGAACTCTAAAATCTCAGTGAACGGGGAGGCCTAGCTAGGTTGTAGTCCCCTCCTCACTCAAACGCTCTTCGGGCGGTAACGTACCTATATGGAGGTAAATTTTTGGCGGTAACGCCATTTGGCGGTAATATTTTTGGCGGACGGCGGTAGGTAGTAGTAATGATTTTTTCGGCGGTAACGAATTTGAACTTTGTTGGCGGAGGCGGTAGAATCAAAAAAGGGGGTAATTTATTTATTTATTTTTGCCTTCCGACAATTGCAGATGTACCTCAGAAAACTTTCACTTAATGTCTCATACTCTACATGAATATTAAACCAATACGAAGTACAACAACATACGTAGGACTTATTTCTACTGTCATTTACATCGTAAAAGTATCTCCTCTTCAACTTACCAATGACAATCCTGATGGTATCCTATATGCGTTCGTAAGCTTGCTAAAATACTAGACTACTGCGTTGATGTCCGCTTGTAAAAGCTGAAATCCAACAAATGCTTTGATCCATGCTACATCTCCGTGTTGGAAAAGCCCTTTCATCTCCGTTCATGATAACATCTTACCCTATTCTACGCAAATCTGTCACATCTACTCTCAAACAAGACGTCAACTTCAAACGAAAACGCGTTCTACGATGCGTCTACACTCCATCCCCATATCATTGGCGTTGACTGGTCCGAGGTCGATCTTGTTCGCCTGTTTTCGGCGTCTTGACGCCCGCGCAATGCGAGCTTGTACCTCTGCACTCGCCGAGATATGGCCACCTGTGTAGCCACCGAAACGATCTGAAGAAGTCGTTCCTTGAAGACTCCTTTCAGAGCCATCGTTCCTCCGTCCCTTCCTCCCACGGCATGTGTCGCAAGTTCATCGATGAACTCGTAACCCTCCTCTCCAAGGCGGCCAAAGCGGTAACGCCATATATATGGCGGTATTTTTTTCGGCGGACAGCGGTAACGCGTTTTTAGGCGGTAACGACTTTGGCGGAGGCGGTACAACCAAGAAAAGGCGGTAAAACGGCGGATTACCGGGACCGCCCACCATGGCGGTAAATTGACGGCGGTAATAAACCCTTGGATATTTTGCATAGTCTACATATACATTCATCTCCCGGGGATCCGCTATATATATATATATGACCTATCCCACCCGCTTCCGTGGCCATGGAGCCTTGATTTTTCACGGGATTGTCCCGTTTTTTTCGCGGTACTTTCATTTCTTCGACACTGTCGTGTTTCTGAAATAGCAAAGAATTTGCACATCGGTTCCCTCGACGAGAAAGCCACCATCGAAGCCGACAGTGAAAACAGGCCTTTGGTAACGACGCCCCGCGTCTTCATAGTTTTGATTCGATCCAACCAGAGAGAATATGTTTTCGGGTGCATTAGGTTTGACGCCGGGACTTCATGGACACGACAGTGACATGTTCTGGGTATTGGTACGACAGACAGGTTTGACGCCGGGACTTCATGGACAAGACAGTGACATGTTCTGGGTATTGGTACGACCGACACTGGAACAGATCTTGGGCAACGCTGCCACGTATCTTATTGTTTGGATGCGATTGATTGTGATTCAACGAGGGCAGCACGTGTGTGGGAGTTGGCCCCTACTCACCCCACCCCCCCCCGCCTACCCCCACTCCAACTCCCACCTCCCTATCGGAGGCGACCTACCTTGTTTGCTACTTCAATGATAGCTTCGCATCGCAATTTGGGACACACAAAACGCTGGAAAGGAATTTCATGGGTTTGCAAGGAGTTAAATCTGTTTCGTAGGCTACGATAGTGAGATCGATTGTTGGCGAGAGTCGGGACTGCATGTAGGTTTCCCGCCGGGACTTGGGACACTGGGAACTCTAGCTATGAACGTATTGGGAATGAAGGAGTGAAATTTGTGATGCCTGTGCCCGCGGAGCCCGAGTTGTTCAGTTATCTACACTTTTTTCGTTGGATATCATGCTTGTTTCGCATAGTTTTCGCACGTCTAATTCTGCATGAGAAGTAGCGTGCATCGTGATACTGAAACGTCAGAGATTTTTTTCACACGCATCAGAATTCCCTCGAAGACTCATTGCAGCCGACAGTGAAACGGGTATTATTTAATGACGACGCGCCGCGATTTCATGTTTCTCATTCGATCCACCCAGGGAAACATACGTGTCTGAGTCGGATCTCGGCATCACACCAGGATATTGAGACATGGAAAACCCTGACTTTGGCACTATTTACAGGGTCAACGTGGATGATGACCTCGAACCTGCCTTGTATGCATATGATGTGGAAATATATTATAGCTGTGGCGTGCAAGCGGTGCCTGCTGGTCTCGTAGAAGTAGCGCGTGCGAGATCGATGACGGCATGTCATTAACTACCAAACGGACAGGAGGAAAGGGCGTGCAGGAGGCAGAAGGGGGGGGGCGCACAACAAATACGGCGAAAGTAATACCAACGATGACCTTGACAGGTCCCGCGAGAATGGGAGGGAAAACAGTCGGAAGAAGAGTGTGGAGAGGGAGCAAAGCAGGAGTAGCAGCGACGAGGAGCGGGACGCCTAAAGTGATGACTACATATGCGGATGGGAAAAGCAGTAGCAGCGATGACAAGGAGGACACGTTGACGGGTCCTAAGATAATTGAGGGTCGTGCGAACACATCGCAGTTGGGTTCGTGGCCGTTGGCGGTGCTTATGAAGAGTTTGGGTTATCCGTGTGATGGGCACTCCAGTGGGTACAAGCTGTCCTGCATGGTTTCTGCCCGCCCAACCTGTCGGCTAGGCCCTGACGAGCCTTCCTCCAGACGGGCGTAAAGGCAAGAGCAAAGCGAAAACACATTTATGCTTTACTCTGTCAGTTCAGTGTGTTCCGCACGTTTGTTTGTGAACCCCGCCTCCACAGGAGCATTCTGCCGTAAGGCAACACTGCGTACGCCGGAGCTTGTCCTAACACATCTGGTGTTCGTCTGTCGATCGTACGTATCCATCGTCCCATCGTGAGCGGATGCTTGTGGTTGTGTTCGTCGAACGAGTCTGAAAACAACAAGAATGACCTTCCTGGCTGCCTCGTCAACCGAGAAGTGACGTCAGCGGAGAAGCAGCACGAGACATTGACTGTAGGTCGGAACACAGCCTGTCGCACGGCCGTACTTGGCAACGATGTCGCTACAATGATGAAAAAAAGGGAACCGATCTATCCGTCCGCCTTGTACTATCTCTGCCTGTGGCGTTGACCCACCGTGATTTTAGTTCAAGTTGGTCGTACTCAAATTTCGTGCGAGACAAATACACACGCCAAATGCATCAAGGTACGTTTTCCTATGCGGTCAACTGATGCCTGATTGCACCAGACAACACTGTCCGATATGGTGGCTTCCCCAATGGTCGGCGCCCAATGTTGAGGCACATCGCAGGGCTGCCCAGGGGATAGACTCCAGATATCAGGTATCCCCCCATCCACCACCATAAACACCCAACAACGGGAAGGGATCGCCAATATTTGCTGGTTCTTATCGTGCCGAGAGCAGATGGAGTTCCATGGAGCTCTTGGTCTATTAGCTACCAGTGTTTGGAGTATCGGTGCGTGTCGCGTTACCACGCTCGCAGGCCCGTGTGGAGAGCGTTTCTACGCAGAGGAGTGACTCAAGTTCCATGTACTAGAGAGTTAAATGGGTGAGACACAGGGGCGTGTGACCAAGCAGAAACTCGGGCGTCAAGTCCATCACACCCATACAAAAGCAGCATCCACGCAACCCCCGGACATCCAGGGTGTCCCCATTCTCCCAACTACACACGAACAGCCCCCCTACCTTACGAAACCCTCCGTACTTATCGCCAAGGAAAAACGGCTTCAAGTTCAAGTCCAAACACAACCAAAAATATCCATCGTCCATATAAAAAAAAAACTCATCTCAACTCCCCCGGATTTATCGAATATTTCATTTTCGGGACACTATTCCTAATTATTTTTCACCATGGAACTTATCGAGACCCTTAACAATCAACAACCTCCTGGAGCAAAGGTCGTAGGGACGAATTGCCAAGCAGCCAAAAAATAGAAGAAAAATAATGAGGAAAAATACTCGGCAGAGATCAACATTACATTGGAGTCATAAAGAATCGGGACGGAAACCTCCGGGAAAAGCATCAACCAATGCGTCGAACAAATCCTCACACAAAGCCATGTTTCAACTCAATGATCAATTTCAAATAAGCTTTGGGAGCACAAAGACCTCAACCATGTTCTACCAGCAAATGCCAAATCCTTCCTCCAATACACCGTTCAGAGAGCCAACACACCAGGACAGGAAAACAGTCAAAGGCCAAAAGCCCAACCCATATGAAGTGTCAGTGTCAGAGGAAACTTTCGCCGACCCTGCCCTTTCGCCAACATCAAGACAACATGATTTCTCCACCGCCACCCTGACTGTAACATCTCCCCAAACATGGAACCTTCACAGCCTCCTCGCTACAATATCTCCCAGAACCGATGGAAAAATTAATCAAAAACGTCTTCATCGAGTCCTAACGGGAAAACAAACAAAAAACATGAATTTACCTCCGAATTCCGCAGAAAAACGCAGAAGCGCAACCAAACAAAAGATGTGGATTTCTCCTCATTATCCACAGGCAGATGAAACGCGAAAAACGCCAACAACATGAACAGCTAGACCCGAAAGTCCGCTAGAACTCTGCTTGCACTGTGCCGAGGATCAAGACATCAGCGTTAGGTTCTCCCTCCCCATGATTCGACACAAGTGCTAGCAGTGATCCAACAATATCAACTGTACCTTTGCGTGGTAAATACTTGGAACATCCGAACTGTATCCTAGTCTAAACATATCCAAAGTAACATGTTCGTGCGCATGGCAACACAACAGTCTACGGCCATTGGGGTGTCGGCGCGTGTACTGCGATATCACGGTCGTGGACTCGTGTAATGGACTCCATACGGCGGAACTCCATGAAATATTCCACGGAACTCAATGGGGATTGAAAAACCATCTGGACGATTGGCGACTACTCTCTCCGCCAGGTACACAAACAGTACCTACGCCTCGACCGTGGACCACGCCGACGAAAAAAATCGCGAAAAAACAAACGGCCAATCATTCCTTGCATGTACTCTTTCCTTCAGGTACCAATGCTGTTGACGCCTCGTCATTTTCATCCCATCAGCAAAGCATCATGAACGCCATGGCTACAACACCGCGGGAATATCTACTGGTACGTACTCAGGAGTGCCAACAAGAACTATGCATCGTAAGGGGTGAAACGGTATTACCCTCCCCTGGTGGGAAGGGCGGGACATCAAAGTTGGTATTGCGGTCCCACGGCACCACCCATCCACCCCATTTAGCTCAACCACACTGGATTTTCTACTCGCTACCTTGGATCGCCAACGCAGCCAAGCACAACCAACCTAGCAATGGAGGTTGCTGGGCAGTTTCTTATTTCCGTCCGAAACGGATTGTGTACCACTTCTCTGCTTGTCACGAGCTCAAGCGGCTGCCGCACCAGCCGTATTCCCCATTGTGGCTGCTGGTGTGCTGGCGCACCTCAACCCGACCGTGGCGACCCTAGCATGGCAAATGGGGTTCACTTCGGCGTTCTCCAAGGACACGGGCGCCACGCAGGGCTGTCTTGTCCGTGCCACTCCTTGCAGTGCTCGCCGCACCACCGGGACGGGCCGTAACGCTTGTAGCTGCACCTCAGTCCAGTTGAGGCGACCCAAGCCAGACAGATGGTGGGGTCCGAGTCGGGCACCATGGTGGCAGGAGGCAGGTCCCATATGGGGCTGTCCTTTTGGTGCCACATGGGCCGGTGCTCGGTGCAGAAGCGAGATTCACCGAAACACATCATGTTGCACCTCAGTCCAAAGACGGGCATCCTAGCCAGGCAAATGGGCGACTCCATTTCGGTCTTCGCGGCTGCAGGACGCGCTTGGGTCTTCGCGGCTGCAGGACGCGCTTGGGTCTTCGTGGCTGCAGGACGCGCTTGGGTCTTCGTGGCCGCGGGACGCGCTCGAGTCTTCGTGGCTGCAGGAGGCGCTTGGGTCTTCGTGGCTGCAGGACGCGGGGGCGGGGGGCGGATTGTGACAAGCGAGGACAGGGACAGAGGTCCTATTCATCAACGACAAGGGGTTGTTTCGAGCATGCGGGTCTCGGGCACATTGTGCTGAGGCAAGAAAATGTGCTCACAACTGTTTTGCATCATTTACATCGCTTCTATCGATACCAGGCAGCTGAGTGCCTTGTTCCGACCACCTTTGAGAGTACAAGCGCGATCCCAGCCATATAGCTTGAAAAACAGGAAAAAGCAACGCCAGAACTAAATACATGAAGTGCCTCACTAGCGTTGTCGACAACAACTTCGATCACGTTCTCACGGGGAACAGATGAACGAAAGGTCTTGAGCCCCATCATGGTTTGATGTGTTGAGGAAACATGCTTGGATCCGAGATGTTTTGAGTAAGGAAGTGCCGTTGTGCCGTTGTCTGGTGGACATGAAGGGACAAGCTTCTTGCGTGTGCGTCGCCTACTGAACCGGGATCATCTCAATTCTTCTTAACACGGTGCTGAAGCTTGTGAGTGACACGCCAACGATCATGTGCGCCTTGCAAGGATGATGTATTGCTACGTAGCTCGTTGTTGTCGGGACTACGCCGGGATGCTGGAAATGCTCCCCCAAAATACAACAGACCTGTACAGTGAGGTGCCCGTCTGATCCACTGCTGCTGCAACTAGTCAAACTGAGGTCACACTTCAGACAGCCCCGCCCCAGAAAGGGGCCACAACCACACACGTTGCCGGTCGTTGTGGCCCAGACCAGCTTTGCTTGGGGATAGTTGAGCACGACTCAGCGCCTAGGGAAAACCTGATTTCCGCAACACTTGTACAAGAACAATGCGGGTAGATGGCAGGTTGAAACGCTAGGAGCAGATGTTCAAGCGAACCGACTTACTCCCCTGAGCACTCACCTTTCGGTTGGTGACGGCGACAGAACTGGGTGTCGTCCCTCGTCTTATTGCCGCACGGGACACCTGATTGCTGCATACCCTGGCATGCGGCTGAAGCTGAAACGGAGATTGTTTTAGTGGGGGGGTCGGAGATTGACGGGTCAAAAGATAAAAAGCGAGCGTATCGCGTGATTACCAAGGAAATGTACAGTCTTTAAGTGGTTGCATGAATAGACCGTCTTGACTCAGCGCCTAGGGCAAACCTGATTTCCGCAACACTTGTACAAGAACAATTCGGGTAGATGGCAGGTTGAAACGCTAGGAGCAGATGTTCAAGCTAACCGACTTACTCCCCTGAGCACACACCTTTCGGTTGGTGACGGCGACAGAACTGGGTGTCGTCCCTCGTCTTATTGCCGCACGGGACACCTGATTGCTGCATACCCTGGCATGCGACTGAAGCTGAAACGGAGATTGTTTTGGTGGAGGGGTCGAAGATTGACGGGTCAAAAGATAAAAAGCGAGCGTATCGCGTGATCACCAAGGAAATGTACAGTCTGAAGTGGTTGCATGAATAGACGGTTTCAAACATGCCAAATACCTGCTGACCGCTGGACGGATTCTCTCCATGACTTGCTTCTTCAAAACAGGTATTTGGCAACGTCCGCTCCCTGTTTTCTCAACCTATCTCGAAGTTTCCCCACATTCTTCATCGCGAAAAAAACACATTGGAACTGCACGCGTGTCCTACCCACTACATAGTGTGCGGCTGGACCCGACAGCGCTACGATTCTCCATTTTCCTGTAGTGTATGCTGGTAACGATGAACCTACCAACGGATCCGCTCGGCTTTCACCAGATTCAACCACCACGGCAGAGGTGGCGCTTGAATCTACAAATGTCTTTGTACTCACGCTTCTTCCCCGTCGCCTTCGTGCACTTTTTCTGAACCGGCCGCTTGAGCATCTCGCACTCGCTGTCGCTGTCGAAGAAGGAACCAATATCCGAGTCGTCGATGTTGTCGAGGTCGATCGCACAGTATTTGTCTCTGGCTTTCTTCTTCCGCGCCGACTTGTTGGCTTTGGCTCCGCGCTTGGCTTGCTTTGTCATCGCCTTCCGAGTCCTGTGGAGGCGGGCGTCAACGGAGAATGGAACCAGCATGGAGCCATAGTGAATGCAGTTGGAACACGACTGCCAAGCGTTAGAGCAAACAGGACATGATAATGTTGTAGACCCTTCCTCGCCCGTCCTGTGTCGCATGCGAGAAAAAGCAAGCCCGACGAAAATAACGTGTTGAACGGGGCAGCCATCAACACAATACGATGGCGTGCCACTGAGTCAATCTCCCACATTGCTGACAGCTTTGCGAAAACGCCCATGGGGTACCCGGGGGCTGCCCACCAATTATCCATGGGTGGGCCAACGGGCAGCCCATGAACAGCCCACGCAGTGCCCACTGGAGCGGCACTTTAACCTCGAACTCTACCACCGGCATATCAACAAAGAATTTCGACACTGGCACATCAACCTAGAACTCGGACACCCAGCGCCAACCTAGCACGTATCGTTTAGGCTTGGAGTTAGGGTTGGGGTAAACCGTTATTGGATATGCCCCTTCCAACGCAGATTTTCTATTGTTTGGGAGTACACTGGTTATGCAACAGGGTATTTGTAGTGTAAAGGGTCCCCGCAGATACGATTATTAACTAAAATCAGGTAGTTTGGGGGAAATCAGGAGACCAATTTCCAGAAACGGGAATACCCGGGTACTTTATCACCACTTTAGGGTACACTTGGAAATCAACGCGCTTGCACCCTCAGGCTGTTAGCTCATAGGCCGAAAAGCCATTTTACCCATTTCTGAAAAAACCTTACTCGGGTACAACTACCGCTGGAATTAGGACCCTCCGGTGTGACCGATATTGGTTCCTGGTGTACCCGGGAGAGGTCGATTTTGTAACCAGAAATGGTCATAGAATGCCGGCGCCCGACGCTCAAGCATAAAACCCGCAGAAAAAAACGTGTACCGCACATACCGTGTACCGCACATCCATAACCACAATCAGACCACCAACATTTCTCGCTCGTTCATCTTTCATGGGCACCGCCTCCATAGGATACCGGCCCCTCTCAATAGAGGGTCGGACTCGCTTGACGCGCGAGTTCGTTCGGTGTGGTGCTGATCAGTAAAAACACAGGAAGAGAGAGGCACAGAGAGAGAGAATAACGGGCACGATCTGCCTCGTGCATCATGCTTCCGAGCCACAGGTCACAGCACACAGACAGGTTTCGCCGCGATCTACGGCGGATGCTGTCGGAGATTGGTGTCGTGTTGATTTCCAAGTGTACCCTGAAATGGTGATAATCCACCCGGGTATACCCGTTTCTGGTTACATCTCAAATCAGGATGTGGGATACTCATTGCACCAAAACGGAAAACTTACGGTTGACTTTGAAACTTTGCAGACAGACCTTGGGTTGGGAACCTCTAGGACCCAGGATATCCGGGGACGACGGAAGAACAAAAAAAATACCAGATACAAGCTGGCTCACGCAAGAAACCCGAAAGTTGTTCCCCCGTTAATACTGAACGCAACTACTCACCAATCAACACATTTTTCATACTATAGTGACCCCCGCGCTTAGCCTAAGGCAGTGGCACATCTGGAATTTCCGGAACTCCTTTCTACGGTAATTAGGCGCAAGAATGTGTCTTGGCCAATAAGCAGCCTTCACGGTCTTGGAGCATTAAAAACTCAAAATTACCAATGAAACACGAACATTCTTCGGCCGGAGTTCAATCTCAAATGACCTTCAAGCTCTAGGGAACCCAACAAAAAAAACGGGGGTGGAAACGGCCACCGTTGGAGCGAGTTACGACCAAAAAGGTGGGATTTCCGTTGTTATGGCCCTTTGGCGTCGTCAGATGGCCACGGGTAGTACGGAGCAACTGCCCAGCATTGAAACGATTCCCGTCTTATATATCTGAGGAAAGCTTGGATCGTCCCCAAATTTGGCAGTTCGACAGGTGTTGATGCTACGAACCCGAAAAGAAACACTTCAACACTATTCACGAAGTTTTTCCGCTCCTACCGGCTTATCGGGGTCTAACGGATAGGACCCCCGGAAGCCAGATATATATATATATGTGCCTTATTACATAAAAAAATCGAATTCGGTCGGCTGCCGTGTAGGATGTTGAAGGATTGTACAAAGTTTCGTTGCCCAAGGGGAGAAACTGAGGTAGAGCGGTCGATTCAAGCGTGAAGGTGTGCCCAACATGTTCATTTTGCGTTAAATCCAAGTAAACAACGGGTTCGCATAGGAAATTTCAGGTTCCTGTCACAAAGAGCAACTCCTTCGTTCGGTTTTTGGAGATAGGTCGCCAAATGTGCACACTTATCCCCGAGATCGACACCAAACTTATTACGAAGAATGGGGTTTTCTGTTTTTGTTTTTATTCGCCGAATATTCAGGGTCCAACGCCTTTTTGTCCCAGCAACGTGTGGGACCCCGATCATTTGGTGAACAAAGCAAACAATCGAAACACTCCAGTACTCGTGAAAAAATAGGTGTCGACCTTGCGGACCAATGTGTGTGCAAAGTTTGGGACCCACCTCCAAAAAACCGTACGAAGGATTTGCAGGGATCAAATTTTGTTTTCTCGCGTGAACCACCTTGCATCTCCTGGACAGTGTGCAATTTTCGTAACTCGAAGAAGCGGCGTGAGTTTTTCCACGTTGAATTGAGTACCTTTGTTGTCATTTCCGTGAACCAGCTCGTATAGTCTATTTGTTGCATTCTTCCTTGAAAGCTATCGCGCCCTCATCGTATATACAGATCGTTTCGGTGGCTACACAGGTGGCCATATCTCGGCGAGTGCAGAGGTACAAGCTCGCATTGCGCGGGCGTCAAGACGCCGAAAACAGGCGAACAAGATCGACCTCGAAGCAGTCAACGCCAATGATACGGGGATGGAGTGTAGACGCATTGTACAACGCATTTTCGTTTGAAGTCGGTGTCTTGTTTGAGAGTAGATGTGACAGATTTGCGTAGAATAGGGTGAGATGTTATCATGAACGGAGAAAAATGTCGGAAGGCAAAAAATAAATAAGTATATATATATATAGAGAGAGATCTCTCTTTGCCACTACACACACGGCCGATGGGAGAGGCTGCTGCGTGTGGAGATATATATATACCTCCAAGGGACTACGAAGTATTATGGAGTGAACGTGTGACGGAGGTCAACAATCAATGAAAATCGCAGCAGAAGTGATGTGATTCATGGTACAACAATATACTCTTCCGTCCCCTCATCCCTCAACCACAAGGCTGTGGCTGGTCTTTCTGGCGAGTGCATGGCTGGAAAAATACTTCTGGAGCGGGTTCGTTATTGCTACGGCTCCCGGCCAGTGCCGATGTGGCGGTAGAGTTGGTCGGCCCCGTTGAGAGGTGCCGCGCGCGTAGTCCATGTGTCGCTCACAACCTCGCGCTCAAAACTGCGAGCGTATTACAGCGGTAGATTTGGTGTGTGTTGTTGTAGTCGAAAGCCGGTACGCACAATCTCAAGGGAGTATGCACCGACGTACAAACGAGTAGACTGGGCACAAGGACTGAGTTCGCCCACGGGAAAACGGAGGAGGTCGCCTCGCCTACCAACGGCAAGGCGTGGTTGAACCTTGCTACAATTATTTCAATTCCCGCAGCCAATTCCCGCAGCAATAGCGCATGTAGACATACGTGTACACGCACCACACAGTCGACATGTGCATGAGGTACCGGTTCCTACGCGAACACCTCAGACACCTCGCAGGATTCATTGAGCAGCGATACGACGTGGCCTGCAATGTATCAAGTTAACAGAGCTTCAAGCTATGAGCTAATGGACCTCAACGTGAGCGGCCGCCCTTCGCCCGACTGGCTACATATCTCGCCACGTCCGGGCTGAAAATAACATGCTACTTCGTACAACACTGAAAAGGAGACGTCACCTTCTTCTCAGGAAAGGTCGGCGTCCTCGAAAGTGAAAGCTATCTCGCCCCGGCTAGAGCGAAGGCGGACTTCAATTCTGGTGTGTGAGAGTGACGGGGGAGGAAGAGAACAAAGAAAAAAAACAAGCGGGAAAAAAAAAGGCGGAAAACTCTCTCTATCCACCTCTCCCCCCGACCATGTACGACCAGAGGGTCCAGGGTCCTGGACCTGGACCCGCCGGTGTCTCACACTCATACCCTTCTTCGCCCTCTCTTTCCACCTGATTAAACCTGTCAACCTCACACGCCCACAGACCCACCCCTCCCATCGCCGTGAACAAGAAAGCCGCCGACCTTCCCGCTGTCAGGTATGCCGCTTGACCGCGAGTCGTGATTTCATGAAGAGGGTACGTAGCGCTTCCTGAGAGTGAGTTAGAGAGGTGTGAGTTAGAGAGATGCCACCACACGCACGAAAAAATAAACAAGTGACCTCCACTTCAGCGCTTTTTTCCCCACCTGGTTAGCAGACGAGCAGGAAAAGAGTTTCGCAAGCCATGTAGGTTTGTAGCGGTGTTCGCAAGCACTCTCAAGAAAGTGATAGAGAGAGAGGATGAAAAAGGATGGGGGTGGGGGGGGGAGATGAGATCATCACTCAATCGCCGCCGGTTTCTTTGGCGGAAGGTGATGTGCGTGCGCTCTCACGTATGAGTGGATACGGTACATATCGAGGTGGAGCGCGTGTCGTACGCCGGGGCCGTACGTCGAAGCCGACTCGCGAGCAAGATTCATGCGAATTACCCCGGCCAAAGAAGCTCATGGTTCGAAAAATTGAAAAAAATCACTCCTGCTCATTTTCCTGCCTCTCCAAGAACACACTCAATCGATATACACATTCATTGCTGCAATGGTTCCACGGCAGTGGCGGACACGCGGCACCGGTGCTTGTACAATTCCCCGAGCAGGATACTGCGATATCTCGCTTGTGGGTAGCATATTCGATAAGACAGCGAGCGGTGATTTCAACAGCGTTTGTTTGTTTCGGCACAAAGTAGGAGCGAAGTATGTGGGCCCGTTCACACTCAGCGTGCTCCGCATATCTCTGCGCTTCTATATACAGCAGCAGTGGATACATAACATGCAGCCCTCTCCTCGTGTTAGCAGGTGGCCAATAGCTTCATGGACATCGCTCATGCACCCGCGCCTGAGATTCCGCGATGCTGGAAATCAAAATGAGTAGACTGCGTAGACGCGGTAGCCCACGTTTTACAGGGCGCCTGCATATTCTCTCGCGAAAGTAAAACTGGGCCAAAAAACAGGCAACTGGAATAAAATTTAGCTGGCGAAGCAATAGGCTAGGTCAGCGCACGACATTGACGACACCTGCTTGATGATGCACAGACAAGAAGGAGATATTCGGTGTTCCCCCAGGATGAATGATGGATGAATGAAAAATAAACGTCGTTCACACAGGGGTAGGTTTTCCAGCCATGCATGACCTTGAAGTGTGGGAGCTAGGAGAGATAGCAGTCACACACCCTTCAAAGTACGCATTTGGATGGCTCTGGCTTCCATGAAGTTTGTATTTATAAAGATATACAGCAGCTTGCCTGTAAATGACTGGGCGACGTAAAACGTTTCGAGGAGGCTCCAGCGGGACGGCTTTCACATACCGATGTACATAGGGTATTTGTTGAAAAGAAAACACGGCGGCCCTACAACCTGTTTTTTTTTTCACTTCAAATCAGCGCTCACGGCACTAGTGCCGTTTACTACAACCCGTGGTCACACAGAAGAGCCCCTCTCTACCCTCCCCTCCTACGGTACTTTGCCTTCGATTTTTAATGCGAGAAGAGTTCAGCACTCTCTTCCCTCTGTGCACACACGAACTAGCACTATCCACTAGGCCAGGAGCGGAAGCGAGAGAAAAACTCATTTTGCAAGAAAAGCTCGCTTACGCCGGGATTCGAACCCCTGACCTGACCTCCAGAAGGTTTCGAGGTTACTAACTAGACCACCGGGGCGACCGGCAATACTCAAAACCCCAACGGAGGATGCAGTGACATCGTAGCCGTCTCTTAAGTAGCGCCAGACAGCACATCAAAGCCGTTCGAAGCAACCATTCACATTGACAAGATTCCGGAGTCCCTTACCGACTCGCCGGATCTCCCACACTTTCTGCAGTTGTGCAAACTGCCCAATGGGGCACCCATGGGCTGCCCATGTGTACCACGTTGTGCCCATGGGCGCACTGGTGCCAATGCGTTGCCCATGGGGAATGCCCACAGAAAAGCCCATGGGTAGCTCATGGGCAGCCCAGGGGCAGCCCAAACCAGGGTACTCTTACAATAGATTATCAGCTTGGAAGGGGCATTACCTGTAACACGAAAACCTTCACGCTGAAACCCTTACCCTAACCCCAAGTCCACGAGATACGTGCTAGGTTGGCGCTGGGTGACAAAGTTCTAGGTCGAAGTTCCCACGGTGGGCTCTTCGTGGGCAGTTCATGGGGTGCCAATGGGCCAGACCATAGGCGGTTTAGCAAACGGGCAGTTGCGTGAGAGATTGGACACGCCGAGGTACTCACGGCTTCGCACTAGGTACATGGGTTATCTACTAGGCAGACATACACGATGAACAGTACCGTAGTCAGCGCTGACTAGTGGTCTAGTGGTCATCGTGCTCTATCACAAAAGCTAGTGTTCGTTATTCGAACCTCCCCTTGAGCATTTTATCCTTTGGGGATCATATTTGCGCCCGATGTATGGGACGAAAAAGTCCGACAAGGCTTCGCAACGCATGCCGACAAACCTCTTGCACCGATGGAATTCCCTGGGCAAGACAGCGCTGATCACAGGGATGGCAACCCTGGGGCCGCTTGTTCGTGGCTTGGCAGAAGCTTGACGGACTCGGGCAAGTATACTTGTTTTAAGAAGCACGATGACCACTAGTCTAGAAAAAAAAAACTATGGTTAAGCAGCACGGTGACCACTAGACCACTACATAGCCAGTTGGAATGATAAACATTGTTGTTGTTCGAGTGCAACCCTCTCCTTAAGTGTTCGTTAACCTGTGCCCCCCGTCGGAATATACCTCGCGCCGGTCACCTGTCCTGTGTGGTCATTTCCCTGCAATGCCGTGCCGTCCTTATCATGCTCCGATGCCCACCTCTCCAGGTGTCGCTTCTCGCTCCACAGAAACGATTGTGGTTTTCGCAGACCAGACAAGTTTGAGCGTGGGACTTGACTGACAAACGAAGATGACGAAGCAAGCTAATCCCCGGAAAAAACACAAGACCACAAAGGCGAAAGCGTGGGCAAACAAGAAGGCCACACCACGCCCGCGACCTCGCGTGCCCGAGGCCGATCCCATCCAAGAGTATTGGTCAAGGAAGATCTCCCCCGGAAAACGCAGAGTCGAGTTCAAAGGAGGCGGACCCGGAGGAGTCACGGTCCTACGCAAGGATGTACCCAAGTCCTGGAGAACCGTGAAGAACAGAAAAGGTGTATGCTGCGTCTACTTCGTCAAGGGCGAGCGACACTTTCTGACGATGGTTTCGGAGAAGGAGTTGAACAAGATAAAGGGCACGATCGGCAGCTTAGAGATGACCAACCACGCCAAGACTCTTGCCTACGGCATGAAGGCGGCGAAGAAAAGGAAGGGTGTGCCCAACTTCAGCGTGGTGGACGCTTGCTTCGGATTCTGGTTTGACGTGTGCAAGGATAGCGGTGAGTGAAAGCCAGGCCACCGTTGCTGACGCAGCGCATGGCCACCGCCGCGGCACTAACAGAATTGCCGAGCGTAAATCACACGCGCCGCGATTCCTGTACATCCTCCATTGGACATACCCTGTGGCATGCACTCACCTGACACGTTGTATGTCCGTTACTCGTCGTTTTGCCGTGAACCCTGTGTACCGCCGGCCGACTCAGGTGTGGAGTTCAAGTGGAAGTCCTGCGCCAACTACTTCAACACCGGTTCGGGACGATCAACTCGTCAACTCGCGAAGAAACAGGAGAAGAGCCTATTGGCCGCCCTCGACACGGTGTCTGCGATCCCCAAAGACAGCGAGCCCGACAGCGAGTCCGACAGCGAGTCCGACAGCGAGTCCGACAGCGGCTCCGTCATCAACCTCAGCGAGGAGTCCAGCAGTGAGGAATCCGACAGTGCGAGCGACAGCGAGAGCGACGAGCCTTTCGAGGTGAGGATTGTGGGGAAGCGGATCAAGGTCTTTTGGGAGGAGTTCAACAGGTGGTACCGCGGCAAGGTAGTCAAGTTCTCCAACGGCATGCACCTTATCTACTACGACGATGGAGACAAGGCTTCGCATGCGCTGAAGAACGAAAAGGTGCGTTGAATAAAGAGCAAACACTCCTCAGACATCCTAACCTTGACGTTTAGAGAAGGCGTGGGCGTGCGTACGAAGTCACAGGTAGACAAAACATGCCAGACCATTCTTACCGGTGAACATCAATTGCCTGTTGAATATCTCGGACGTGAGCATGTGACCCTTGTCAAACGTTTTGCAGAAATCGGGGCGTGGGTTCATATGGTTCGGGGTAACCACAAAGAATGGCTCTGTACAACAACTCGTACTGGGTCAGTTTTGGACGCGCGCTTGTGGCTAGAGTCCACTTTGTCGCGGCTTGCATCCTGAACGAGGGGCAAGGTGCCCCTGTTTAGAGCGGATTTCCTGTCGTGCACTGTGTGAGAGGGACATTAGCAGTTTCTCATTCCCCCCTCCCGTTGTCTCCTACACGCTGATCGTCCAGTGGAAGGTGGTGGGATAGGACCCCAGCATGGGCACCGTCGGCCGGGCAAGGTCGCCAAAACTGCAGTGAGGTCTCGCAGCACCAGGCGCGACTGCGCATGCTGCCGGTGCAATCCAAGGCGTGGCACGGAACAGACACCAGCGCGTGGTGCAGTCGACGTTTGGAGATGGCGGCAGACAAAGAATTACGCAGGATGTGACTCATCCTCGTGTTGCTGGCTATGTTGATTATCCGAGGACAGCAGCGCGCTCTCCAGCATTGAGTGGTGTAGGGGGTTAGGGTAGACTAGCGAAAACCATCGTGCTTGGCCCTCGGTAGGCGAGCGAGCTACACCAGCAGTCGACCGTAGTGTCGTTTCGTCCTTTCCACTACTGTAAATCATGTGTTGTTTGTTTATTGTTATGCACAGTAGTTAAACGTTGAGCACGGCGGGCCGTGCGTGTTTCTTGTTTACAGGCTCTGCCAGTGCGATACCAGTTGCTTCCAACTCGACCGTTTTCTAGCCGGTGTGGGGGGGGGCAGTACGGGCAGGCCTTTATGCCTGAGAAACGGGCGATCGCCGCTGAGCAAGGAGAACCTCACCGAAAGGTGTTGGTGATGAGTTGGCACAGGAGGACCGTCAAATGTCCAGAAGAAAATTTAACGAAGGGCTGATGCGTTCGAAACGGTATCCGCGTTCAATATGACGTGTTGAACATGTGTTTTCTCGGGTCTATGGTAGAGAAAGGAAGCAGGCAGGGCGGAGGATCTCGGGCCGAATCGTTGCTGCGGTTGTTGTTGTCTTCATATTAAACTCGTGTCAGTTGCTTATCCCAAAATCTAGCAAAGACGCGGCCCGTGGTTACAATAACGCTAGAGCCATCAGAACATATAAAACTAGCAAGAAATGGTACACAAGCCCGAGGAGGTACACCTACATCTCTGCAGCACGTTTGAGTGCCCAAAAACTGAACTCTACCGGTCCACACGCTACATTCGGTTACAGTAGCATCATCCCCCCTGGTCCCACACTTTACTAAAATGAATGTTTGTCGACTAGCGTACAGCTGGTTGGGGTGCTGCCTGAACAATAACACCATGGGAGGCATGGTACCAGTTCGGGGCGCGCAACTGCTGTCTGAAGTGCTGCCAGAATGCGTCCGTGGACATGGAATGGGGTTAATCGTTTTGCTCTGACCACCGCACGAGGACGCAACGGGGCAGTGCTCTGGGGTTAACTTGGAGGGAGATGGATGTTGGGAATATTTTTGACGTGAAGAAGTGTTCCCAAATAATAACAAGGTAGATAAGGGAAGCATCAGCACACTGTTTGGGGCAGGCAGGCTCTCTCGGCCTCATTTCGACCACATTCGCATGCATAGCGCTACGCCAAGCGTTATGGCCATTGATCAGAAGATCGGGCATACAACAAGACGCGCCTCTCCCGTACCCCCAGAGGGAGAGAAAGACTGGAACCCAGGGCTTTCACGAAACAATGACAAGAAAACAACCACCCGACCGTCCCCTCCTCCAGAGAATAACTAAAACCTGATTCAACTCTTTCGACCAGTAGAAAGCACAAAGAGAAAGGAGGACCAACTACTGTAGAACGAGCACCATTGACAGCCTTGATTACGGGGTGTGCTGCATGATGACCCAGAGGCATCGAGCCTTATATTACATATATCAACCTTAGGAGCAGGGTGCGCGGGGTGGTCTCGAATTACGTTTCGTTCATACGCGGTGTCCTCGCGTACATATTCGAAGTAGGGAGAAAGACCATGATTGGCTGATTGCAAGTTTGAACATGCCGTCGGGGCAGACACACACCTTTACCCCTTTTTGTACCGATTTTGAATTTTGTAAACGCTGGTGCGGTAGGCAACTGAGCTCGTGGCGAGGAGACAGCAACTCCAAGTGATATTCTTGTACTAACCCCTTAGGGGGCACCGGTAGATCTTGCCGAACTCTAGCCGTGGCATTGATGATGCTGTGCCGACGTGATGAGAATGACGAGGCGACGAAATCGTCGGCACCTATCGGGAATAGAACATGCAGTGAGGTTCAATTGCACTATGAACGTCGACCGATGTACATGCTCACCTGAGAGGAGGTGCCCGGTGTGGTTGGTTTGTGGTGAACCCCTATTAATATAGGGTGCTGGCATTGTGGGGAGTTCACATGGGATGTCCCATGTGCTACCCACGTGGCGGCTCATGGGAAGCTGGGGACGGCGTTTGGGATACATCGGACAGTCGATGGCACGCGAAGGATGGGCTACAACGAGCCATGGGACACCTGTAGGACGCACGAAACGGTCCAAACGACCCATGGGACGATGGGAGACCCACGGGCGTCCCACGGGTGTCCCATGAGACAGGCATCACCGCCGGCTGCTCCCACCTGTGGGAAAACTGTGGACCACCGGAATACCTCCTATTGAATCCACGGGAGGTACCCATGGGAAACGTGAGACCGCCCAGATGTCCCATGGGGCGCATGATGTGGTCCCATGGAACACGTGGATGGCTCATCGCACACAAGAACTGCGTGGGACACCCACGGGACGCCATTTCAGGGCGTTGACCCGCTCACTGGACGATGGGGGCTGGGCATGGGACGTCGTGCGTCCCCGCTGGACGCCCACGGGACATGGTCAAACGTCGAGGACGCATAAAAAATAACGATTATACGTCCAGTGGCGCGCCATAATACGCCGGAGTGAACCCCCTGATTGACTTGATCCCCCCCCCCCCCCCCCCCCCCCCCCCC